GATACACACCTTTAATCCTAGCCCTTCGGAGGCAGAAGAAAGTGTATCTCTATGAGACTGAGGCCATCCTAGTCTACATAGTGAGTTCTAGGCCAGCTGGGGCTATAGGGAGACCCTATCTAAAAAAATAATAATAAACATACCCATAATCAAAATAAAGTATCAAAAATACCAAAATTGAAATAAATAATGATATATCATTCATGGCTCTTGGTTGAAAGTTTAAGATAAAAGAGAGAAATATTGAAATAATACTAATCCCTGCCCTGTATCAGAATCAGAGGCCAGAGTCATATCACAGAATTGATCTAATAAGGACATGACTGCCATTCAGCACGAGGTGACACTGTACAATATCAACACCAGCATAGAACACTGATGCTGAAGCTGCTGATCCTGCTAAGCCTGGAAAAACAAAATGGAGCAAGGAGAGAGAGAGAGAGAGAGAGAGAGAGAGAGAGAGAGAGAGAGAGAGAGAGAGAAATATTCCTTCTACCAGGTGGTTTGGCTTAAAGCAATAATAACTATCCCCATTGATGTTACCTTTAATATGATGTGATGAAAATGACTATCTCTGTTCCTGTAACCTTTATCCCAAAAATTTATAACCTCAGTCCAATCATGAGAAAAACAGGCCAGACTTATTAAAAACTGTCAAGGTTTTCAAAAAGAAGGAAATTCAGAAAGTATCACAGTCATGGGAAGCCTACAGAGATGTGTCAACTAAATGTAATTTGGCATCCTAGCTAGGATCCTGGATTAGGGAAAAGTTAAAAGGTAAATTCAAAATAAGCAAGTAAATGGATTAAAGAAATTTAAGTAAAGTAGTATAGACTTCAGGTAATAATAAGGTTACTGAGGTTATTAACTGCGGCAAATATACTTAATAATGTAAGGTGCTAATAAGGAAGACGGGTTGCCAGGAACTCTGTACTATCTTCTCAAATTTTTTATTTATTTATTTTTATTTTATGTGTATGAGTGTTTTGCCTGCATGTGTGTAAGTGCACCCATGTCATGCAGTGCCTGTGGAGGACAGAAGAGGGCTTCAAATCCCCTGGAACTGAGTTACAGGTGGTTGTTAGCTGCCATGTGGGTGCTGGGATTTGAACCTGGGTCCTCTGCAACAGCAGCCAGTGCTCTTAACTGCTGAGCCACCTCTCCAGCCCCAAACCTCTTAATTTTTAAAAATCTCAACATTCTCTTAAAAGCAGCCTATTTTTAAAATTTTCACTGAGCACATCCATTGTCATGGAAATGTGTTACATAGGACATTTTGTACAGATGTATTGTACACACAGCATATCCTCAGAAGTCTATTTTTTTAAAGAAAGAAAACTTTAAACTATTCTTGTTTCTACTCTTCTTGTTTTTTGTGTTACTATCTCATAACACCTAGTCTGTGTATATCTAGTCTGTGTATATCTAGTTGAGCAGCTGTCCATGTAGTTTGCTACGGTGCAGCTATAACATGGCTAAAGAAAATGAATTTGGGGTTTATTTAGCCTCTGTGTAACGGAATGGGCTCACATCCTTCAAGATTCACAGAAGACTATAAAAGCAGAAAGGATCTTAAGATGATCAGAAGCTAAAATGAGAAGAAAATCTCCATGACACATGACATGTGTCATACTCACCAAGGTCCTAATTACTTACAAATTCCAGACTGACTATTGCAACTCACAATCTATACAACACAATGTTATGCAGTAAACACAGAAAATCACAATAGTTTAGTATGGGGAGTGCTTACATTGGGTAATGGGGTGTCACGTGGCGGGGAGGGGCATACATAAATGAATGTCTACCTGCCCACCTCTGCTAGACACCAACAACAAACCAAAATTATAATTCCACCAAAATCTAACTTGATGAACCAATGAGTTTATATAACCAATGAGTTATAGAGCATGAATGAGGGGTTACTTACATGAATGCAGGTGACCCCCAAATAGTCCCATCACTGTAAAGTCTCACCCCAGCATGGATGACCGTTTCCCCATAACTTCATAGATGGAGGCTCCTCTTCAATTTACCTCGTACACTCTATATTCTCTATCATCTCACAAGACTATGAGACACCTGCAGCTTGGGCAAAACTAGATACAGCTGGGGGGAGGGGCAAGGAGTGGCTTAACTCTCTACTCTAATTACCAGCTCCATCTCCTTCTACCAGGGAATGTCAGCAGGCCCAGTATTGAGGGCAGCTTGCAAGTACTCACAGCAGCGCTGAAGAAATTGGTCATGGCTGCTACGCTGGGAAGAGTATTCTACAGCAGATGGTAAGGCAGTCCTCGCACCGTTGGGGTCACTAATACATTTTCAATGTCTAGCATAGTTTCTCAATAAAAATTTGAATAAATAAGTGGTCTGAGAAAACTGTTGGCACAAACAAATTTTCTCTGTATTTTTACCTTAAAAGAATATAGGCAGGTGATAATCAAGAACAGATGGATTTCATGATAAAATGGAATAGAGTTTACAACAAACAATTCAAAGCTTTTCTTGGGTTCAGTCTCCACCTTTATAATGAGAATCATTTATTGAAAGAAACCTTATCAGGAGGTCCCATTTTAAAAATAGCTGCACTGTGTGGTGACTGCACTCTGAAAAATATCCCCTTTCCAATCAAAGAGCAGTGTCAGGCGGTCAGTGGACTTTTGAGGCTACCTAGTAAGAAAATTTATAATTAAAAAAAGGAAGGAGAAGCTGGTCATCTGCCCCACTGCTTCGTGCCTTTTTCTTTATCCTGCCTTTTAATTGACTCAATAGCATGCTTAAATGTTGTTAATTACAACACTTAAAAGTTAGATTTTTAATTCTATCCAGCAAGTTAAACATAACTCAAAAATCATTCCCCTCATGAGTAATTTAAGTCACATATCCCTACTTTTAGAAAATGTTGGTCCACAGCTCTATGTATCTTTCTGATGACCATCTACATGTTCAGACAGTGACTGGGCAGCACTGAAGCAAGCTTGAAGTGATTGGAATTGGAACTCTAGCTTTGACATCTTTTAATGTCAATGTATTTGGGGGTCATAGTCTCTCTCAAGTGTTGTGATGATGATTAAATGAGAGGACATCTACAACTGTTTAAGGAAGTAATGCATGCAGAGCATGTTGGAACACACACACACACACACACACACACACACACACACACACACACAAAACCCAAAGTTCCTTCTTTCACCTTTGTCAACTCCTGGTCTAAATCTAAAGACCCCTGTTCTAAGCTTCCCCAATTTCTTTATTTGACTTCTTTCTCTGCTCTTGCAGCACCGTGCACAGCACCGTGCACAGGCGTCTACTCAAGGCACCAATCACATTATCATACAATTAATACCACTGAGCCCTCCCCATTTCTTTGCACACTTCCCCCACTTCCCCTTGTGTCCCCATGCCTACTACATGGCCTCTAACATCTCAGGCTGTTCTTGTCTCAACCAAGTTATCTGCATTCCTTCCTAGGACCAGTCCTAGTCTGTCTCTCCCTCTTCCTCTCCCTCTCCCTCTCCTCTCTCTCCATATATATATATTTGTATTAATTACTGTCTATCCCGAATTGACACAAATTCTATGTCTCTAGCCTTAGACATAACTAAGCTCCAAACAACTAAATTCAGATGTCTAATGACAAGACTTCATGGATGTCACAAAACATCTCACATCCAGCAAGCCATCCCTGAACTCAGGCCTGCAAGATCTTTCACCTCCATGCAAAACTGAATCAATGAATCAACAGATCAATGAAGCTTATGCAGTATACCAGATGATTTCTTGTCAAAATATAGCACTATTTTCGTTGGTGCTGTTCCACATAAATGGAGAAGGCAGCATAAAATAAGGACGGGTTTGAATTGAATTAGTTTTTCCAGGTGGGAAGGGAAATCTTAGGAAGTTTGACTCATTTCTCCAACCCACCCTAAAACCTATGTGAATTGGCTGGCAGTTGCTGAGGCGGTTAAGCTCATGGCATGACATGGGCTGGAGAGGGGGTGGTGCTATAGTAAAGGGGAAGGGGCTTTCAAACCCAGGCCTTGGGAATTCTGACAGCTCCTTCCAGAGTTGCACACATGACCACAATCTTGAGGCAGCGATTGGTGAGCCTGTGCGTTTAAAGGGCTGGGTGAGCCCAGAGATTCTCAGGCACAGCTTAGCTAGCAACCCCAGCCACTAGTCCAATCCTGCCACTACAACCCTTGGCTTGCCTCTGGCACAGGGTGTGCTGAACAGAGTTCTGGACCAAAGCGGTGCTCACAAGTGTCTCCAGGTTGCAACAGTGGGGTCGCAGGTGCACAGGTACCGGGGTGCAGTCCTAGACTGTGGGTGGATCTGGCTCCCAACCCCGCTCTGGGTGTGGAGCTGGGAGGTGTTTGGAAGCACGGGCCGCGGAAGGGAGAGAGACACTCGCGAGGTAAAGATGATTAGTGGCCAGCAGAGCGGCTGGCTTCTAGATTCGCTTGTTCGGTTCCAGGGGTTGATCTTCGCTCTGGTCCCCTCTGCTGCTCTGCAGTGGCTCAGTCTTCAGATGCGCGTCCCGGTAGACAGAGCTCTGGTCAGATGGTGTGAAAAAGGCTGGTCTGTTAATGCCTCATGGAAATACCAAGTCAAGTGGAAAGGAAACTGAAATTCTTTTCATTCATTCCACCTTGTTTTGCGTCCCTAGCCGTTCCTAGCCACCCCTCTGACACTTGGGGCATCCTTTTCCCACTACCCACCTGCAGGCTTTCTGTTCTTTAGCAGACCGACTTCTCAAGGCTCCAGCTAATGCTCTGCCTGTGACCGAACTGATTAAATTAACAGCCCTGTTCTCAGATGTAGCCTTCTCACTTAACAGTTGTTCACGTTTCCCCAGGTCATTAAAGCAAGTTTGTCAGCTGGTTTGTATTTATCTAACCAGCCTGATTACTACTGCCACCTGCGCTGCTCTGGCCCCTCGAGGACAGTGGTACTAGCTCACCATTTTTATGCCGAGTTTCATTGTCATCTTCGGAGGCATTTAATCAGTATTTTATATTTTGTTCTGGTGGTGAGACAAGATTTTCATGTGAATCTTAAACCTCATCTCTGCCCCCACTTGCCCAGGACTGGGCATTCACCAACAGCCCGGTTAATGCAGTGCTTGGGACTAGAATCCAGAGTTTTGTTGCATGCTAGGCAAGCACTCTACCAACTGAGCTACATCTCTAGCCCAGAGGCGTTTATTCCGTGCTGTAGTTTAAGCTTCACTGCTTTGGTTTTGATTATTTCAGAGTTCATTACTTCCAGGATACTCAGTCATGACCAGGCTTTGAACCCTCTAACCTAGAACCTTTCCTCTTAGCAAAGCTTAAATGCAAAACCTATAAAATGCAAGCCATATCACCCTGAACTTCTCTGCCTGCCAGTTCTACAATGATTGACATGGAATAATTCATTATTTGTGTTTAAGTCCTCTAGATCCTTCCAGTGTATGTTTGTGGGTGCACCCGTGCATGATTTTCACTTCCTGGATTTAATGTGTAATTATTTCATTTTGGTTAAGTGTATGTAAGGTTCGGCCATTGCCTAATAGAACTCATACCAGGTTATGTAGTTTTCAGTGTGCAATGTTTTATTGTCTTTAATTTTCAGATATTTTGCCCTTGTTTGATCAGCCCTTCTTTTTTATTAGGTTTTTTTAAGACCAAAAATTAAATTTCAAAGTAAAAACTTTTCAATGTTCAGTGTTGGTGCATTAGAGTAGCACATGATCTCGACTACTTTTGCTTGGTTTTTATTTATTGAAGGTTTTCTTATTGATTCACCAATAAGAGCTTTTTAAAATGTCACAGTTGTTTGGATAGTAAGTACATTCTATCTGATTTTATGTAAATTTTAAATATGTTCTCTGAACTATTAATCTGTTAAGATTTTAGAAGTTTCCTAATCTCCCATCTCTATTGTGTAATTGTCCATTTCCTGCTTGGGGAAGTGGTATACATGCTTCACAGGTGCTGACATGCTTAGTGACAGCTGTATTTCCTTACGAGCTATACTCTCATCACTTGGCTTCCTCTTTAACTCAATGCACTTGTACTTTTAATTCATTATGTTTTATTTCACTTGAACACATCTTGTAGTTTACATCTGTCTGTTACTCTCCCTTGGAGTTCATTTGCTCTTGTGTCTCCCTAAGTTTTTATGTCCATGAACTTAAATTTTGACCCAATTTAGAGAATGGGTAGCTTATAATTTCTACCTTTAGAAATACATTATTTATGCCTTTTTTGTTTTTGCTTTTGCTTTGTTTCTGTTTTTATATATGACCTCTGAGATTTTTTTCTTTCTCTGTTCATGTTAGTTTAAATTAGTCCCAGCACTTGGGAAGCAGAGGTAGGTGGATCTTTGTGAGTTCAAAGCCAGCCTGGTCTATATCTCAAGTTCCAGGCCAGCTGGGGCTACAGGGAAACCCTGTCTCAAAAAGACAAAAAAACAGTGTTTGGGGCCACAGCTCATTTTATGTAGTACTGTTTTATACCTCTTCAGGACTTCTTCACCAACAGCTGAAGAGATAATTCTTAGTCTTTGGTGCATCTTTTTCCATAGCATTGTGCTTGCTTGTTTTGTTTGATCTGGGGCCTATAATTAAAAACGGTTCCAATTTATTTTCTGTGCCAGGTGGGTCCATGAGCCCTCCAAAAGGGTCTTTCAGCTGATGGGCACTGAGCTGCTTCCTCTTTGTTTTGTGTATCCTCATGGAGAGGGGATAGTTAATGTATACTTGAAACAGGTAGAGAAGGATGTGAGTGGAAGTCATTGGTGGCCTGAGACAGTATAATTGTATAAACCAAAGGTGGACTGACAAGCTTGGAACAGCTGGGGATGCCAAGTCAGGAAGATAATGGATAAGAGGTGTGGTAGATTTTCTAATTCTTTAAGTGTGAGCCTCAGCTGATACCAATGGGGAGAAAGATGGACTATTGTTAAAGGTTGCAGGAGATACCCCAGGAGAGCTTCATTACAGGAAGGACTTGTTCTGAGGCATCTAGAAGTGATTCCTATTTAGTAAGACCCAGAAATGGCCTAGAAGGGGAACCACTGTCCAAGCTCTCCTCTAGCTATAGCATCCTGAATGGGAGCTATCTAGCTTGCTTGCTTTCTCACTTTCTTTCATACATGAGTACTATGAATACTATATTTACATTTCCACACCTCACTTCCCCCTCCAAATCCTCCCATATTCCCCTCCCTCTCGATTTCTTGTCTCTTTATTATATCTAATATATACATTTCTATATGTGCATTATATGTGCACATTTATATATATACATATATAATATATACTAAGTCCATTTAGTGGTACTCATGTGTACATTTGTTTAGGGCTGACTACTTGGGATTAGATAACATAACAGGAAGACTGTCCCTGGAGAAAATGGATTCTCCCTCCCTCAGCATCCATTGATTGCCTGTAGCTCTTCATCTAGAGGTGGGACCAGTGAAATTTCCCACATTCCATTGGCATGTCAACTGGTGCTATCATTATGCAGATCTTGCTTAGGCAGCAATATCATGCAGTTTTCATGGCTGCACCTTCCCCATCATGTCTATAATACACCATCTAGCAGCAGACATCCTGGGTCCTCTGGCTCCTCTACCGTGAGGTTCCCTGAGCCTTCAGTATAGGAGTTACATTGTAGATGTATCAGCTGGGGCTGGACAGGACACAGTTGATTATTCTCTACATTTTGATCAGTTGTGGAACTTTATAATAGTCTCCCATCTGCTGCAAAAGAAGCTTTTTTGATGAGTGGTGAGAGCTACACTTATCTGTGAATATAAGAATAAGTATTTAGAATATAGTAAGAAATTATATAGGTTTGGGAAAGCTATGGTAACAAGTTCTCTAGGATCTATGACCTCTCCAACCATGGATTCTTGCCTATTTACAGTACCAGGCATGGAATCCCTCCTGTTAAGTTGGCCTTAAGTCCAATTAGACTGCTGTTGATTCCTTCCAATATAAAAGTGCCACACTTGCACCAATAGAAGTATGTTTCTGGGAAGGTCATTGTTGTGGTTCAGAAATTTTACAGCTGTGTTAGACCATTGATTGGTTTTCTCCCTTGGCAGCTTGCATGACATTTTCCTATACTATGAGAGCTAGTTCTCAAGGAGGAGGCTTCCAGATCAGTTCAATTTCTCCAAATCCTGTGACCAAAATATGTGATGTCTTCAGAAACAGCATCTTATCTTCATGTTCTGAGATGCAACCAAGGGCTCTGTGAATAGCCTACATTGGGGGAGTCTCTTGGACTACCCTGACAACTTGAAAGGTTTCCTTGCCTGGCGCTGGGATTTTGTTAGATAGCCTTCACCTATACATACACACTCGTGTATGTATAATACATTTCCATATGTTTTTCAGGACATCCTTATTAATCTATCTTTTCCTCCCTTTCCTTCTGTATTACCTTCTATATTTCCTTCTGTATTACCCTCCCTCCCTTTTCCCCAGCTAAAGCTCCCGTTTTTTCCCATTTCCCCCTTGATAGCACTTGTGTCCTACTATTCCCCTCTCTTGAGCTCCTTCTTCCCATCCCCCATGATTCCTTTCTACTTTCCTGGCTTTTGTGGTTACTTCAGGATATGTACTTATATTTTCAGAGCTAGAAAAACTGGCTATTAGCTTATTCTATTAACAGGATCCATCTGATAAAGGAAAAAAGTTATGTCACCAGCTGTAGTGAGAGCTTTCAAAACAGAAGACAGCTGCCTCTGAAGCTTTCTACTTCTATGGGAAAAAGTGACAAAAAGAGTTTCTGACTTAATAAAGTTACAGGAAAATAGCAGTATTTCCAGCATCTAGTTTCCCATTAGCAACCTACTATGTTAACATAGTACATTCATTGCAATTCATGGAACAATAAATAAGACCCAAACATTATTCCAGTTTTCACCCACTTTGTGTAACTTCGTTGGTATTTTTATAAGAACTTGGGAAGAGTTTTTCAGACATATTACCTGAAGCCTGAAGCCAAATAGTCTGCCTGAAGATTTGTTCATTCAGTTTTTAAGCAAAAATTTGTTGTCTGACCCAGAATGTATCTAATTCCAGTTAAATTGTGAGTTTTTAATTTAAGAAGGGGACTTCCTTTGCCACTGCTCTGAGGTGTCTGCATTTCTGTCTTTGTAGGGGTGATTTGGGGAAGAGAAAGCATTTTCCCTAGTCTAAGAAAAAGGAGAATTGGTATTATTTTCTTAGGTAATATAAAGAACATTATTTATAGTATCTTTTTATATAAACTTTTATATGATGCATTTTGACCATATTTAAACCTCCTCCTCTACCAGAACCATGCCCACCTCCCTATGCCCCCATTCCTGTCCTTTTTTAATTAATTAAAACATGTATTTAATTTCCTTTTTTTATTAATTTCCTTTTTTACTTAACTTTTTAAAATTCATACATTTCCCACTCAAATTCAGACCCCCTCCCCCAACAGATGGAGGCTACTGCAGGGTTGCACATCTGGCCAGGCACAGAGAACATACATCTGGGAGATGCCCAGTACTAGGTGACACATCTGCAGTCGAATCTCTACAAGTAAAGCTCATGGAACATAATGGAATAAGGGGTAGAGAGAGGGCTAATGCATCCCTCAACTCTCACCAGTGATGCGTCCCTGCTCTTTCTATTTTTTAAGGTCTATTGAGTTCAATTTGTGTTCCCACAAATATTCTTGAGTGTAGGTCCATCCCTTAGAATGTGGTCAACATTCCCAGGGTCACCCTTAAAGAAAACTGACTCTCCCTCTTCCAACAGCTATCAATTGTAAATAGTTCCTCACCTAGGGCTGGGGCTTTTTGCCCACCTCTCCTCTCCATGCTGGGGTTTTGTCTAACTTGAGTTTATACAGATCTTGTGCATGCTGTCAAAACTGCTGTGGATTCATATGTGCAACTGCCCTGCTGTGGCTGGTAAACACTATCTTGTTGTATTCATCCATCCCCTCTGGTTCTTACAGACTTTCTGCCTCTTCTTTCACAAGAGCTCCTGATTCTATAGGGCAGAAATATGATACAGATGCCCCATTTAGGACTCAACACTCCAGTCTGTTATTCTCTGCATGTTAACCAGTTGCAAGTCTCTGTGTTAATCGCCATTGGCTTTAACATCATGCTAATAGACTTGTTACCTGTGGTTCATGTTTGTGACTTTTTTTTTTTTTTCAGTCTCTAAGGAAGCTACACGTTGGCTCTGTGTCTGAAGTTCCGGGAATTCTTCTGTGATCTGACCTAGTATAAATCATCCTGTGTGTGGTAAAGAAGCACTTGTCCCATGCCTGGGTACTGGGACACTATAGTAGAGCAGATTTGAGCCTCAGTGGACATTCTACTTAGGAACACACGGCATCTCAACAAGTGAATGGCTACTATAAAATCTCAAAGCCAGGAGCTCTGTGAACAAAGTGAGGTCCTGAGGCCTGACATGTCATGGCGATCTATAACTCTCATGGAGCGATGTGACTCTGAGGCATCTCGTCAGAAGTTTAGACAGTTCCAGTATTTGAAAACTCTTGGGCCCCATGAATCCCTGAGCCAACTCTGGGAGCTCTGTCTTCAGTGGCTGAGACCAGAGATCCATACAAAAGAACAGATGCTACAACTACTGGTGCTTGAGCAGTTTCTAGCAGTCCTCCCTGAAGAAGTCAGTACTTGGGTGTATTCACAGCATCCTGAGAACAGCAAAGACATGGTAGCCCTCATTGATGATGTGATTGAAATATTCAGTGACCAAGGTGAGAACATGGAAAATGAAGTAGGATGGTTGATTCTTCTGATAGGAAGAGCAGTTGCCTTCTGAAGCCAAAGGGTGGCCTGTGACAGGACCTTGATACAAACTGGAAAGCAAAGAGCAGAGAAGCAAAAATTAAAAGACTGGGAGAATGTGGTTACAGACTGATTTATTCAAGTCCATTCTCAAGGCAGGATAATTCCAAGTAATAAAACCAGAATATAAACAAGTAGATTGGTTGTGCATGGTTACTAGAAATGAGTATTTTAAATGATTGTCAGGAATCTTATTAAAGATGTTGGAGTTTTTCCAAGATACTGCATGAAATTTCAAGAATATCAAAAACAAAAACCAATGTTATATTGACTAGCAACATAAGAGCTGTGCTTTTCCCTTGGGAATTCTAATTGCTGGTTATATAGTTTTACAATTTTTTATAGATGATGAGGATTAGTACCATGTTCAAACACTATTTCATTCATTAAAAGTTTTCTCCAGGGCAAAATTTTTCTAAGATTTTTCTTCCTCTTCCTTAGATACATCCTTCAAGGAGTCCATCCACAGGAGGGTGAGTACCTATAAGAGACATCTGGAAGCTAACTCATAAACAGACAAGCTCCGGGTGAATTAGAATCCCACTCCCCAAAGGAAATGTACCAGCAAGTATTTATTTTTGGTCTTTTGGAGACAGGGTCTCCCTGTAGCCCCAGCTGTCCTGGAACTCACTGTGTAGACCAGGCTGGCCTTGAACTCACAGAGATCCTCCTGCCTCTGCCTCCTGAGTGCTGGGATTGAAGGCAAGTAGTTTTTTTTAAAGAGCATAATTATTTTCTTTGAATTTTTGCAAAGCATTTCCTCCAAGGGCAAAAGACTCCTGCTCTTCCCTAAGACATTAAAACTGTTTTAATGGATGTGATAAACTTTGGAAAACACTCTTAGCCTTATAGTCTTCATGCATCTGTTCCCTCTAGAACACAGATCCCTAGCCCTACAATATTTAGCATTAAAAGTAAAGGTGCCCTGAGGACTGAATCCTGGGCAATGTTACTTACTAAACATGAGCAGAAAGAACCTCAAAGGATACTGAAAAGTGGATCAGAGACACAGAGGGGAACGTCACAGAGAGCAAAATATGAGAAAATTGAAAGCAGTTATGCTTTCAATTAGTAGAGTGATAAAGTCAAAAAACAGTCTATTCATTGTGGAAATTGTCATACTGAGTGACAAAAAGAAATTTATTGACATATATATATATA